ACGGTTCAATGCCCCAAGCTTGCCCAGTAGCTTTTTTCGATCGCACCTGACTTTGATCACCCTCTTAAGGCAACACCAAAATCTAAAGCAGTCAAGAGTTTCGTGAAGAAGGTCCTATCGAAGTCAAATCCTATACTTCCGTGTCTGGGTCCCCTGACTCGTGCTGCAGATTTAAAACCGTGGCAAGAGACATGGACATGTCATGTGCCTCAGCCGAGTCCGGAGCGGAGGACGCTTTGCATTCAGATTCCAGGGTCATTTCGTCCAACTTGGAACTTCATCAGATTCAAATTCGCAGTTCCCAGCGTTTCGACCTACGCGAACGTTTCCTCCACTCGTCTCTTCTAGTACTTCTCGCAGGTTTCCAAGTCCAGCCCTTTCAAAATCTTCGTGGACTGTGGACTTATTAATTTGCGTTATGGCGGCTATGATGAGCCGCAGTATTGGGAGACTGGCTGGGGACATTACTTGGAGAAGACGCAGGAATTCCTAGAAACCGCCAAAACCAAAAAAGTTTTCGTTTCTCGGTTATTGGGACTCTTGGAGTTCTATTCAAAAGTGATAGGGATGTATTGGATCTCTATCAAAAATTCAGATGAAAATCATTCTTTTGTCATTGGGACTCTTGGAGATTTATCAAAAATGTGAATACGAACGTATTGAATTTCTGCCAAAAAAAAATCAAAAACAAAATCATTTTTCTGTCATTGAGGGTCTGGAAGCTTAATTTAATTTAAAAAGATTAGAAGTGTATTGAATATCCATTAAAAACCCAAAGAAAGTCATTCAGATGTATCCAGGTACGTGCAGTCGGCGTCAGTTGCACAGATGCAAAATTGTGAGGTTGTCCACCGCGGATAAGTGCGGCAAGCAAGTGTTTGGATTGGCAGTGATATGATGTCGTACAAGCATTGTCAAGATACCGTTCGCATTCCTTGTAGCGGCCACATGAGTATTGTCCATATCAAGTAACGTACATAGCTGTACCCAAACGTGGTGTCCCGATGCGAGCTTGCATGTATTTGCTTTTTCGGAAGCCGGGAAGCAGCTTCATTTGAATGTCATCATCGGAGGTTTCTTGGACTCCCTGCGCAGTTTTTGTATTTGTATGCAATCAACCACGGCATCCTGAGCGTCAAGACACGAACCTTCGCCCAATGTGCATAGCTTGCATTAAAGATGCGTGTTATTCAGTTTGTCACCGCCACAGCATTGGCTCACAGCGATATTAGCTGGCCGGGCGGAGTCGCCCCAGGAGCTTCAGGGATTTTTTCAAAGAACGCTTCAGGCAGGGGACTATTCAAGAGAAGTTGGAGCAAATTTGAGCTCATTGCGCCTCTTTTCGTGGGAGATGCATGTATGAATGTTGTGGATGAATTCTTTCAAGTTATTTGTTGCAAGGGTTGTGACTGCGGGCTTCCAGGGCCGCTGACGTTGAAATCATGGGCGGGGCTTGAGGTGAATTGGTATCCGTTGTAATGTATGGTGCTCAGTTCTGCTGTACTTAACTTTCAAGCGAGAGGAACAATTTTCTGGATTCGTTTGGAAGCTTCGTGATGCCAGGCTCAAAATTGTTTCGGGCGGCTGGGCGTAGAGCCTTTTTTGGCGGATCCTGACTGCAGCTTTCCGATGTTGCCACATACTTCTGTTGGATTTGCCTTTGTGTAGCAAATCTACGGATCATTTATGTGGTCTTTTGCAGAAGATGTTTGAGCTGGCCGGAGAAGTTTACTAGAGTCAGGAAGTTTCGGCGTTGTTAGTAGGGAATGGAGAAGTGGAAAACATGGATGTTTCATCGGATATATTAAAGAGTGTAAAAGCTACCATTCAAATTCAGTTTTCCACTCCGTGCCAACAACCAGTAAAGAAAGGGCATCCCAATTCGTTTCTGTGCGTGGTGTATGGTCTTGGTTATCCGGCATGCGTCAGTCAGAGCGAGCGGAAATCGGGACCCAAATTTAAGCGCCAAACCCTGTTGTTTCAAACTGCCGCTATGTTTGGCTGCCTGTGCTTCACGGATTCCTTTGTTGAAGGGGATGCACAGACGGTGGCTTAGTTCAATGCACGCGGAACTATCCCCAACCAATGGGCTTTATCTTTGCCTTCGTTGTCGTCACGTTCATCGATTTGAGGTTCTATTCGTTGCCAATCAGTACAAGTACTACTTCTGAAATGTAATGCATCTTCTTTACTTTCAGAGCTCACTATGTATCCCTCATATCCCATCAATGGAACTGTTCTATCGCACACGCTAACCCCAAACCCGCAAACCCGACAGCCTAAACCGAAGCCGAAAGAGGAGGAGGATGGCCACGAAAGAGAAGCTCGCGGCCGCGGCTGAGGCCGCGAGCAAGCGCTCCTTGCTTGACCAGGGCTTCCCTTGAAAAGGGTTATATGGGTGGTTGTCAAAACCCAAATTTGAGGGGCCGTATTATAATAGGGACCCCAAAAGGATCATAATTTTGACAACCACCCATATAGGGTTTATGTCGAGGATGACTTATTACGTTTCTTTCGGTAGTGTTCTTAAACCCTCAACCCATTGCCAGCACAAAGGTTCTTTTTGGGTATAGGTTAGATATTGGACGACCAAGGCTCCAAGGGCAAGAAGCCCCTGAAGGATGTCAAGAGCCTTGGCGGAGTTGACTGGGGTTGGGGGTTTTCATACGGATTTCAAGGGTTCAGGCTTAGGCAAAGGTTTTTGGGGCTTAGGGTTGAGGGTTCAGGATTTTGGGCTCTAGCAATAAAAAGCAAATTTTCAAGTTCCCAAAAGCCTAGGTTGGGCTAAGGGCTCAGGATTTAGGGGGCTTTAACAGTTTGTTACGAGGGACTTAAAATGCTTTAGTATAGTTTTTGTGCATCTGGGGCGTAGGATTGGTAGGTTTTAGGGATGCCCAGAGCTTTGATGGGGTTGAGGATTTAGGATCTAGGGTTGGGGAGTTGGGATCTTGGGTTTAGGGGCTAGCGCTCGGGGTTTCAGGCGTAGGATTTAGGGTTCAAGTTTTCCGGGGGTTGGCTCTTGTTTAAAACCCGTGTCTCACTCATGAAATTCCTGCGCTTAACACGAAAATGCAAAAAAAAAACAGCGATAAAAGTAGGCATGACATGTACATTGAAGGGTAATTGGAATTCTTGGGCTTTCAGATTTTCTTGTCTTCAACATCTTCAACAGCCTGAGCCTGACATTGGAGCTTGGCTGAGGCGTGGAGGAGGCGGCAGTGGTTGTGGTGAGCGTAGCACACTAAGATGCAAACTACTATATAGTATATCAGGGTTATATTGGGATCATGGTAACTAAAATGGAAACTACTGTAAAGTGTATTGGGGTTATATTGGGGTTATGGGGCCAAACGTATTATCACTGCCCGAAGCTTTTGAGTAAGTCTATGTCAGCAAAGCAACTGCACAAGTTGAAGCCCCGGCAAATTCAATTTTCAGCTTGTTCCACGCGTCGGCATGAAAGATAGGAAGTACATCGTGATCGGCATTAGCGGCCTGGTCATGATCGGCGCCATCTACCTGGCTGCCACAGACAACGCTGGAGGACAGTTGTTTTCGAAATGGGGTCCTCATCATGCAGGTTGCCGTTACCAAAACGATTTCAAGATCTTAACCCCTCAACCATGAACTCCAAAACCCCTAAACCACTTCAGTGAGTTGCCTTTGAACCCTCACATAATCACAGTCTTGATATGGTTTTGCATTTGACTCTTCACTCTAGGGGTGTGACCTAAATACCATTGGTACTGTTTATTTTCCGTATGATTTTTCTAATTCTTCGTGGCCGTTTGGGATAAACAACCAATAGCTTCTCTAATGTTGCATAGGGAAACCAATTCATAAGCGATTCGTTGGGGAGCTTGAAATTCCCACCCTAACTTCATTTTTGAACCTTCACCCTAACCCCTAAACCCCAAACAGTTGAAGTGACCCTAAACCCTAAGCCCTGAACTCTAAACCCTAAATTTTCAACCCTAACCTCTGAACCCTTAACTGGAGGAAAGAAGAAGACCAGAGACTCATATCGATCGAAGGCCTCCGCGCAGGCCGCACGCCAGATCTTGTGGTTGACAGTGCGCAATGACGGTCCCTTTAAAGTTTACAAGGGATGTAGAGGACATATAGGGATATATAACAATGGGATATGACGTGTTTGAGTTATGTAGAGTTGGGGGTTTCAGGATTTAGGGGTAAAGTGGTCAAGGATTCTCGTCAGGGTTGAGAATTTAGGGTTGGTTTTCAAGTGTAGCCTCGGGGTTTTGTTTGTACACCTTGGTTTGAACCGGCTTCTCAGAAAAAGAGCTTTTGTAGTTGTGGGGTTGTAGGGGGTATGTAGGTTGTAGGGGGTATGTAGAGAAACTTCGAGATGAAGATAGGCTTCAGGGGTTACACTCTGCTGAACACTAAACCCGAAACCCTAAAGCGGGTAACGATGGGCTCGAGTTGGTCCGTTCCGGCCCATGGGTGTTTTCAAAACCAAGGTCCCGTCAAGGAGCGCAGCAGGTTCCATGTTTCAGGAAAATTTCAGTTGGGTGTGGGGTTCATTCCGGCTGCTGGTAGGCATGCCGTGTTAAGTTCTTCCATGTCAGAGAGTCACAGTGAACCACAACCTGATGGACCAAGCCAAACTTGGAGCGCGGCAAGATGAAAGTTGCTTTCACGCAGTTCGTCCATGGACGATGTAGCGAGATCAAAGACTGCAACCGCAGCCGAAGCCACCGATGCTGAAATAAACTAAATGAGGCGCATTTATTCAAGGTGGTGGTTGCCTTCTCTCCTAGAGATATAGGTGGTTTCGCATTTTGTTGCGTGGACAAATCAGCGAAAATCTTCACATAAAATCTGCACGCACTAACTTTGAAATTCTGAAGCGAGTCCTGAATCCTAAGGTCAAACCCTATGTGGAGTCAGCCCGATGTTGAAAAAGGATTATATGGGTACACAACACACTGGTTACTTTAGAGAAGCACTGGAAACTGAAAGCATCCTCCAAATTTCAGGTGAATGATCGGTACTTTGTGAGTGATGTCACCTCCTATGCAGCTGGAAACTTTACCGCGGTCCCTGCCCTAGCATGTCCGAGGGTTCAGAGCATGGGGGTCTAAGTGGGTAACTTATAGTAATAATGGAAAAGAAGATGGAAGCTACTACGGTATTTAGAGTTTAAGCTTTCGTGTTTAGGGTTGGAGGGTCAGGGGACTTAGTAAGTATACTCAGAACCCCTATAACCCATATAGTAACCCCAAGTATCCCCATTCTTAACCTACTTACTAAGTCCCCCTGACCCTCCAAGTACCGGGTCCAAGCAGTGGAGGTGAGGGTTTGCTGGGAGCAGGATCCACGGTTTTCGGTTGGTCGCTTCTAAGGAGAGCTTGGATGCGAGCGCAACATCTTCTCATAGGAGCCGACCCTAAACCCTAACCCCTTGCTGAACTGCTTGGATTTTAATATTTGCTCTACTACTCCCGCGGTTATGGATGCCAGAGGTACCACATGATTGGACATAGTTGCGAGTAGACATTTCCCTTCATTCCTCACATCTTGGTAGTACATCCTCACCCACTTGTTCTAGTCACTCAGATATCAACCTACTTTCCATTTTCCTTTCCATCCGTTCCTTCCCCACCAAGAACCAGCAAGCTCTAAATCCAAAGCATTGGCAACACCTTATCATTAAGCCTTGAACCGTAAATTCTACATATCCCCATAGCCCCTAAACCCAAGCCTAACCGCTAAACCCTTCACATTAGGCTGTTGGTTTTGAAGCTTTTGGGCCCCCTGACCCGAGTTGGGTAGCTGTCTGAGCGACGGGATTCGCAGGATTCTGGGTCCCTAAGCCCTAAACCCTTAATAGTAGTTTCCATCTTCTTTTCCATTATCCCTATATAACACCTATAAACCTCTCATGGGTTTGAGAGTTGACCCTTCCAACACAGAATTCCATGAAAGCCTGGGGTTCCGTGGGGTAGCTTCCAAAAATCGGGGGAACCCAAATGTAGATCCCAAAATGCTTTCGTCCTTATTAGTAGCGACCCCCAAAATGGTACCCGTAATTGTGGGAAACCCTAAGCTGTAAGCATTACGCATCCCTATATATCCCCTATAAACCGCTTTAAGTGTACTGCTAATTGTGGCAAACCCTAAACCCTGTACATCCCGATATATCCCCGTAAACCCTTTTTGAAGCTACTCCTAATTTTTTGGAAGCCTTAAACCCTAAACCATGCTGGTTTGGGGAGTGCGAGTTGATGGCGATGTGGTTTCTTAACACGACTTGCTCTCTTTTAGAGTTAGGGTTTCGGAACCTCAAGTGAGGAAACCCTCAGGCATGCCTAATTAAACTAGTTTAAAATTTGGAACATGTAAAAAACCCAATATGCTAGGCACAAAGCCGTCTCTAAGCATGAGTACATTGGCTACTCTGGTCCTCAATCAGGGCTGCTGTTCAGGAACTCAAACTAAGGTACCATAATATGGGTATATAATGAATAATGGGGTTCCCCCATTATAACAGTAACCTAATATAAATTCCTTAAATTAAACGCAAACCAATAAATCCTAAACTCCTAAACCCTACTCCTAAACCCTAAATTCCTAAACCATAAACCCTAAACTCTAGACCCTTAAACTCTTAAACCCTAAGCCCGAAAGCCTAAGCCTTTTGCATGAGGCTGCGAGCCCCTTCTTCTATGGCTGGTCCTACGCAGATGCGGGCGGACTCAGTTGGGGTTTCAGGTGTAAGGGTTTGGGGTTTAGGGTTTGAGGTTTATTGATTTATTTGTCTTTGGAGGCTTTGAGTGTATGGGGGTATGAAGTTTCAGGATCTACGGCTTACATTCAGACATTGTAGAGTTTACGACACAAGGTGTTGCGTACATACACACACACACATATATACATATATATCTATCTCTCTCTCTCTCTATATACATCTTTCCTTTCACAGGAGTAAATATCATACTCTGTATGTTTTATGTAGCAGAGTTTCGGCTTTTCGGCGACGGAGTGGAAACTCTCAAGTTTTTTGGGTCCACTACTTGCTGGGTTGCCGTTAAGGAACCTAATATAAAGGGTACATAGTAAATAATGGGCTTTGCTTTTTATGGTCACTTAATTTTAAGAAGCTTAACAGAAACCCAGCTAGTGGGGATGGCCTGCTGAGCATCCAGAGTTTTGGTGGACAGGAATCGTATTTGTCAGCACGGCCTAAAGCCGTCACAGTAAGAACATTATTATTTCTTTATTGTTATCATCACTGCTATTGTTATCATTCTCAACAATGGTAATAAATGCTCAAGCTTGTAGCAAGGACAGCACTAAGCTCAGGCTCAGGGTCTAATGGTGTAGGGCTTTGGGTTTAGGGTTCAGGGCTTAGGGATGTTTTGGGTTTCAGGGGCAGCGTGTGTCGGCATCCGCGCGTTCGCTTAGAAAGTTGGAGGTGGGAAGGGCATCCTGGCCTCAATCAGCATGGAAGTGGACTTAATGGGGTTCCATATCTGACATGCGGGGGGTAATTATAGCCTTAAACCCAAACCGTAAACTCTAAACCCTAAACCTAAGCCCCATTCTCGTGTGGTGCTACTATGGGATCTGTATGTGTTCCAGGCTTTGGCTTCCTGCCCCAGCTCGGTGTTTTCCACGGGTTCTAAGAGCCTTCATTTTTGTAAGTGAACATGAGTAGTTTTAGTATAAAGGGTATCAAAGATCCCCCCAAAATAGACCAAGATTATTTTTCGCCTTGTAGTTGCACTACATGTTTGTACAAGAAGACTCTAGTCCTACTTGGTTCAACCTGCAAATATGTTGGTCTAAAGCCTTCTATGAGATCTTGTAAGCCCTCCCAACCTAAGCCCTAGAGCTCACGCCCAGGCTCTGACCGCTAAACCCTAAAGACCATGCCTCTATACATCCCTGAATAGCCCAATAGATCCTCCTACAACCTTATTAAACCCTTGTACATAGTCCCCCTCAAGTAGATATAGTATGGGGTATATGGGGCCATGTTCTATCTACTTAAGGGGGACTATAACCCTAATCCCTTCATCCTAAACCGCAAACCGTAAACCCTAAACCCTAAACCCAAAGCTCAGGTGTCCTACGGCCTGGATGGCGTGAGCATCCGCGCTGAGGGCATGATTGGCTTCTCCGGCGCCCTGCAGCGCTGTGCGGAGCGCTCCCATGGGATTTCTGAGGTATAGTCTAAAAGGGGCTCGATAGGGTTTAGGGTTTAGGGTTCAGGGTTTAGGGTTTAGGGATTATATAGGGGACTACTCTAGGAGTTTTTTTTACTGTAGCTCATCTAGGGATGTATAGGGATGAAGGGTTGAGGGTTTAGGGTTTGTAGGGATGTGTGGGAGTTTCGCAAAAAGGGGGGGTGAGGGAGCCTAGCGGGTTTAGGGTTGAGGGTTGAGAAAGTTCCATATAAGGGTATGCAGGGGCTAGGTAGGGATGCATGGACTTCTAAATGTTTAGGGCATGATATTTACTCTGGATATTGGATGTCCTGCCGGGTCTTTAGTATCAGCAGTATAACTATTGCTGATTTCTTAACTACGATCAATCTTTGGTAAGTAGCGCTGTTGTTTCTGAACATTAACTGCCAGCTTTGGTTGTTATTCGTACCGTTTATGATCATCAGTATCATCTTTGAGTACTAATCCCTATGATCATTCGCTATCAGTATCGTTATCATTATTACTGTTACCACTACATTGTCATTATTAAGCGCAGGCTACCAATTACCATTGCTGTTACTGCTGTTCGTGCTAGCAGTATGAAACCTTGTGTGGCGCACCCCTCCCTACCCTACCCAAAAACAGACCCCCCCCCAAACAGTTCCAGCAATTTATTGGAAGAATGGGATGGACGCCCACAAAGTCCAAGCAAGATTTTGGAAGAGGGGGGGGTAAGACTTGAGTTCTCGACCAGGGCTTCAGGACCAGCAGGGTTTCGGTCATTCTGGGTATTTCTCAAACAGTTGCGCCCGGGGGCCCTTACGGTTTATAGGCGTTACAAGGGGATCATGATGATGGGGGTCTTTGTTTTGAGATAAGTGAATCCTGAATGCAGAAGGCTAACGGAGTTTTGAAGGTTGGGTCATGCGGGTTTGCAGCGTGGGCGTAGGGTCTGGCAGATTTGGAGGTTGTGTAGAGTGCATGGGCAGCGTAGGGCGTGGGGTAATGTTGTTTTTGTCAGAAGGTGTAGGGGTTCAGGATTTAGCGTTCCCTTCCTTAGCTTCGTAAATCCTGGATCCTAAACCTAATTAAATACCAAACCCTAAACCCTAAACACTAAATCCTAAATCCTAAACCACTAAATCCTAAATCCTAAACCCTAAACCGTCCGCTCAACCCTTAGGTTGGGGAGGGAACTCCATGGAGGGTGTCCGACAGTCAGGGATCCCTTGTGGTTGTGGGGGTTCCCATAATAAGTTTAGGGTCTAGGCTGAAAAGAAACTTGCTGACATCCTGGTGGCAGCCGTGCAATAGTGCCTAAATGCCACCTATGTAACCAGGTAGTCTCCATCTTGCCCCCCATAAGCTACAGGGTCACCATCGACGGCCCCGTAAAAGCCTTGAAGCCCTCAACCCTCAACTCACTGTGTCCATCAGATGCTCCAGGATGAGGGCGAAGGCTTAGAGGGCGGTGCCGTCCCGCCCAGCTATGACCTGCGGGTACAGAAGCCAGGCGACGATTGTGGTCCTAAACCCTTAGGGTTAAAGAATTTAGGGTTTAGGGTTTGGGGTTGAGGAGTTACGGTTTTGGGTTCAAGGTTTAGCCTTTAGGGATCGGAGTTTGGGTTTGGGGTTTGGGGTTTAGAGCCTGGGGTTGAGGTATTTCGCTTGGGGTTTACGGCCCCTAAAGCCTACCTAGCATCAGCAATGCACCCTGCAAAAACGGTTTTGTGTACATCCTGTGTGTATTAATGTTTTCTCTTTTCCCAGGATCGAGGTTGCGGGAGGTAAGCCTCTACAGCCTCTAAATCCTTAACCCTAAAGCCCAACCCCTAAACCCTAAACCCCCCCAAAAAACAACCCTAACCCCAGAATGTCTACTGATCTGTCAGGCTGTGAAGCGGGTCCCGTCTACGACCAGGGCAACTGCTCCTCCAGTCGCTGGGGCTGCAAGCATTGGGTTGGAGGGTTTAGGGGGGTTTAGGGTTTAGGGTTTAGGGAACTATTAAGTTAGCATAATGAGGAAGCCTTATGGTTAAGTTACCATAATATGGGGATATAATAAATAGCTGAGTTCCCCCATTATAGTAACTTGATCTAAATTCCTTGGCAGCAGCCCAGAAGGAGGATAAAGCAAAGGGGATTTCATGTTTTAGGGTTGGGGCTAGTGTTCCCCTCGTTAGGGTGAGGGTGAAGGGGCTCAGGGTTAAGGGTTTGTTGGGGTTTTGGTTGAGTTTCCTTCATAGGAGGATATGTAATATCCCCCTAAAACCCGAAACCCTAAACCCTTAACCCTAAACCCTAAACCAGAAACCCTAAACCCTGGTAGCCCCTTACGTGCATCCTCCAGAACAGGGAGGCATTGGGCTCAATTCAACCTTTGGGTCCCAAAGCCTCAGCTTGCAGATACCCTATGATAATACAGGGAGTCCTTAAAGTCCTAGGAATTACAGTAGTTTAGGGCCTCTAGGTGGTGCAAGATTTCATCCATCAACAGTATTACAATATAGTCGTTTCCATTTTCTTTTCCATTATCCCTATATAACCCTGTGTTACCCTATGTGACACTGTGTTTTACCCTATATTAACAGTTTCAACTTTAAAGCCAATCCCACAGCAAGTCCTAGATCATGTAGTGGTGACGATTGTAAGGAGCGGCCGCGTAAAAATTTAGGGTTCAAGCAAGGTTTAGGGTTGCAATTGAGGAAGTTGTGTGTCTAGGCTTCAGGATTTAGGGTGAGGAGTCAGGTTTCAGGGTTGCGGGCTGAAGGGTTTAGGACAGTAGGCTCTGTAGGGCCCATTGTGAGGTTCCATGTTAGTTAAGGGTGGATAAACACAGCCAACTCTTGAAGGGGTTCAGGGTTACCCTAAACCCTAAACCCCTAGACGAAGGGGTTTAGGGTTGCGCAATAATGCCTGCCATCAACCCTAAACCCATCACAGTCAGTCTCCTTCACCACCAGCTCCCCCGCCTCCGCACCAATGGTTCCGGTTTCTACACACCTTGTGACCTGATGGCCAGGAAATATAGTATCATATTAATATATAGCAATATAGTACACATAGTAAATATAGTAATATAGAAAGATAGTAACATCGTAAGATCGTAATATCTCGTAATATAGAGGACAAATAAGGAAATATATAGTAATATATAGCAATATAGTAAATATAGTAATATAGTAGTATTGTAATATAGTAATAGTACGAGGACAAGTGAGAGTAAAAGACAAAAATAGGTCAGCTCCCCAAAGCTTCTCCAGGCTATGCCATTGCTGCAGCCACAGCGCTGGCTTCACGGTTCTGCTTCCTATCTGAGTACTAACTTGGGTTTAGGGGTTTAGGGGATTAGGGCTCAGGGGTTTAGGGTTAGGGGTACTGACATGAGCAATCCTAAAAAATATTCTTATCAAATCCCCAGTAAGGGCCCCCAGAAGCCTCGTGTAGTTGCTTGTTCTCCCTAAACCCTAAACCCTAAACCCTAAGCCCCTTAAGCCCTAAGCCCTAAACCGCGTTGTGAACATTGGTTGGGTGTAGCAGTTGCAGCAATTCATTGATTGGATTCGAGCTATAGTCTAAACTGCTTAAAGGGGGGATGTAGGGTTTTCATAGGGATCTCATTATAGGGCTTATTAAGGGATACTAGGAGTTTAGACTATAACCCCTATAGTCCCCCTATATAAACCCAGTTTCCATTTCATTTTCCAATTTCTTTTCCATTTGATTCTCCATTATAGGGTTTACTAAGGGATACTAGGAGTTTAGACTATGGCTCATTGAGGGCTAGGAGAGCGCAGGTGGGGATTAAGAATTCCAGAGAAGGCCTTTGCCACAAAAGCGAAGTGGAGTTCATGGGATGAAAAAGGGGTTTCTCAAACTAAGGGGGGTTGAGGGTTCAGGGTTTAGGGTTTAGTACCTGTTTGGGGGTCCCCAAAATAAGGAGTATAGTATTTCGGGCTCTTTATTGGGGTTCCCAAACTACCACAAGCATGTCGCCGCAGATTCCCACCATCCTCATTGCCGCTGTAGCTTTTTTTTTAAAAGAGGTGTTGGGGCTCGCATTTTTTCCACTGCGTATGAGGCACGAGGGCAACTATTGAAACTACTGTGTGTATGATGATTCTGATACATGCCCCTTATGTTTCCTTGAACCCTTGAACCCTGAACCTATTCAAACCAGATGCCCTAAACCTTAAACCCTGTTACCTTGAACCCTTGAACCCTAAACCTATTCCTGTGACGAAGGTTGGCAAGGCAGAGATTGTTTGCAATTGTCTTTGGCAGGGAACCGCAGGCATTTTCCTAAAAAGCAACTATGTCTTTAGGGCGCGATACGGATTGGGGAGGTGGAACTTTGAGTTATATAGCGGCTACATGGAGATGATTGGAATGAAATGCAAAAGTCTCTGGGCGATTATATGAGCTATACTCTTAAGTGCTTAAAGGGTGGTGATAAAAGGGATTACGTTGGGGAGTACTGGAGGGGTTAAGAAGGGACACTGGAGTTTAGACTATGGCTCATATGAAAACTTGGTTGAACGCCCCTGCGATTGGTGATGACCGAGATCCACCCTTGCAGCTAGTATTGGGTCTTGCTAACTTCGGCTGTTTAGGAAAATGTATAAGTAGTTACTAGTTCTTAGTAGGGAATAAAGGCATATAATCCCTATATATTCCCTCTATAATACCTATTTAACATTACCTCAATCCAAATTAAGAACCAGCGCAAGTAGTAAGAAGTCTTCTCAACAGCGTGCATATGTGATTAAAACAGTTCGCTGCGCTAGTCATGCCCTTTTTTACCGGATCTCAGTAGGGAACATATTATATAGGGACTTTATAGGCAGTATATTCCCTTATTCCCGACTAAGTACCAGTAAGTTATGGGACGTAAGATCTATCCAAGTCAGTTCGAAAAGTGAACATGCAAGACCCGAGTCCATTTCCTCCTCCTCTAAGAGCGAATTTCACTGCCTTCCTCTTCCCGTTATACTATTACTGGGCTGCTGTTAAGGAGCTTAAGTTAAGTTACCATAAAGGGTATATATGTATATGTATACAGTAAATAATAAGGTTTCCCCAATATAGTAACTTCTTAAATTACGTTCCTTAACAGCAACCCAGACTAGGCACGAAGTGTTCTGTTTCCACCCTATGCATTATTGCCAGGGATTTCCCCACAGCAAAGTCCGACCCACTACCATGAACCTTACATGAGAGGTTCGCAAAAGTTGTAGGCCCTTTTTCAGTTCTAGACCATATGGTAGTTTCCCTAAATAGGGGGACCCCAATATAGACCCCAATATACTATAATCCTCATTATAAGGACCCCCAAAATGGTACCCCTAACTTTGGGAAACTACCATATTACGACACCTAATATTCAAGGGTACCCATTTCGCCAACCCGAGAGCCCCCCTTGGGGTTTGGGTTTAGGGATGAGGTTGGGTTGAGGGTTTAGGGTTCAGGGTTTGGGGTGCAGCTCAGGTTTTAGCGACCCGGAGGCCTATGCCAAGTCCCGTGCTCAGAGTTTGGAAGTGTCGCGTTTTACTTGGAGGGTCTTATGGGGACTTGGGAAGTAGGTTAGGAAACCCCTATAACCCATATAGTAATCCTAATTATCCCCATGATTCACCTTGTCAAACAGTCCACATAAGACCTTCCAAAGATCTATATGGGGATGTATATTGGGGGTACAGAGGAGTACCCGTATGGAGAATGTCAGTGACAATGCATTGGAAACTTTATTACATAGGGGAATGGTTGTAGCAACAGCAATAAAACCCCTCCAGGAACATTGTTTGGATTCTTGAATCCTAAACCCTAAGCCCTAAGCCCTAAACCCTAATTCCTCAACCCGAAGCCCTGAGCCCCTAAACCCTACCCTAAACCCTAAGCCCTAAGCCCTAAACCCTAACCTGACTGGTAGGTAAAACTTGGGCTTTCAACTCGCTAGACATTTTAACATTCTGTCCTCAACTCCCGGACCCTACTTGGAGGGTTAGGGGGACTTAGTAAGTAGGTAAGGGTTTAGGGTTTAGGGTCTAGGGTTAGGGGGATTTAGTGAGTAGGTTAGTAAACCCTGTAACCCATGTAGTAACCCGAATTATCCCCATTATTAGCCTACTTACTAAGTCCCCCTGACCCCCCAAGTGGGCCCTAACCCCACGCTTTCTCAAGCTGAAGCGCTACACTACACCTGAACCTACCAAACCAAGTTGTACTCCCCCATTAAGTAGCATGGACTCCCATATAGCCCCCCATTACAAAGACAGAAGATAGTCTACGAAGGGCACTGTTGAGGTTCTATGTTAGTTTGTGGGAGGGTAAAGCCTACACCGTTGGTGGCACGGCAGAGGACGCAGTTGGCGCCGCAGCAGATCGTGTCCTGCGACAAGAAGAGCCCTGCACCCAGCACACAGTGGCCCTGAGGGTTTAGGATGACTGCGTTTCGGCTTCTTAGGGATTGAAGCTCAGGGTTTAGTGATAAGGGTGGAATTTTGAAGCTTCGTGATTTCTACGAAGATGTGGGATTATAATTGTTATGGCCGTTCCTTAGAAGTCAATATTTCGTACCATTGCCACCACCGCCACGGCAGCGAACTGCAACTTCCTCAGCTACCACAGCCATTACTGCTGCCACCATTCTTGCTACTCTTACAGTTGTCATTCATGGTACCAGTACTTAGTAGACGTGTTTGAAGGCAGTGCTGCCTACCTATTGTTTACTGCATATGGTATTTTCTTCTGGGAGCTAGACTGATGCATGGACTGCCAGGGAAACATGGGGTAGTAAGGTGTTGTAAAACGTAATTTTACCGAATGCAAGGAGTGGTGGGGTCTCAGAGCCATTGTTTTGCGACAGTGCCGGAGATTTGTAGAAGGCCCGCAGATATTTCGAAAGGTTTTTCATCATGGATCAGAAGGCCTTAAGGGCCAGCTGCCCTGGTGAGTATCACCATGTCTGGTAGCCTCGTGTGACCATTCAGTTTGCAACGTGTGTGGGAAAACAATGTAGCATGATATTTCAGGTGCCTGTTGCTACCTGAATTATGTTTATCTCAAAGATATTTGCGGTCTGAATGAGACTCTAACATGGTCCTGGACCTTAGTGTTGTAGGGCGTGCAGAGGGGAAGACCCATCCATAGATACCCATGAATAGTACGCTGTGTAGGGATACTGTAGTCCCCGACTGACCGACGTCCGTGAATAATATTATAGTCCCCAATATATAGACAAAGACGATACCCTCCAACGGGGTAGAGTGCCTCATATGGAGCTTTCTCAAAAGGATCCCTATGTAATCCTGCGAATTGACCCTTACACTCCTTCTACAATCCCTAAACATTCTTGTGGTTGCTGGGGGACCACCATTTTGAGAAACATCCATATCAAAGATGTAAGCTAAAAAGGTTCAGCCAGAGAAGACCCTAAGCCCTAAACGCCAAACCCTCCTGAACCCTAACCCCTAAACCTTCCTAAAACTAATGATAGGGTATGGAAGCTCGCAGGCAAGCCTGATACACCTTCCCAAACCCTCTCCTCTGCTCAACTTTCACAATTAGCCCAAGTACTGGTAACACCGCGGGACGATCCTATTCGTCATGTTGTATTTTCCCCAGGTATAAAAGACAGAATCAAGTACAGTAAGGGCCAAAGACGGGGCCACCCTCAACGGTATTGGCTCGAAATGAAGGTGGAAATTGCGCTACCTGTACTTAGAGCCTACGCTGAGCACAACGCCCCTAATACAGGAATGACGTGATAGGCATGAAGCAAATGCTAGTTAAATCCCCGGGGTTCCAAGCGTATCTGGATACTGCGCCCACGCGCCGAAAAGACCTTCTTGCAAGACATGTTAGAGCATTGGGATGCGCATGGCAGCTGCAAAAACCATCCGAAACCCTAAGCCCTCCTAAACCCTAAGCCCCCATGCAGCCAAGGCCAGGGCTGCAATGGTGGCGGCATCGATGCTTGGATCACGTAGGGTTTGGGGTTTGGGGTTTAGGGTTGAGGGATTCGGGATGCAAGTGGGTGGAGGATGTGGCAGAAGAAATGCAGGATTGTATAGGTTGTATAGAGATATCCTTAGAACTATAGAGCCCTAGCTGGGTGTATATCAGGGGTATGCAGCTGTTTTTGAAAGTGAAGTAGCGGGCAGACACATTCTAGGCGAACATAGTAGGTTTTGTGGCTGTTGGGCCCCACTTACACGCCTCTATATCAAGGAAGATCTATGCCTTATGCGATCCAGACTTGGATTCCTGATAAGAAGTTTAAATGCAGTCAAGAAACTGGGGGTATACAGTATACACCGGAAAAACATCAAATAGGCTTGCTGTATAGTGGTATTTCATTTCCAGAGCAGCAACCCAGCGCTTTAAGATGTTTAGTCCCAAGGGCCAGAAGCAACCAGGCGCATGTGATACCATGTAAAGCGCAGGAGGTCTAGGTCAATTCCCGAACATCCCCGATACTGAGGGTTTAGGGCTTGGGGCTTTGGGTTTCTTCTTGTTAAGGGATCACGCCCGCCTTGTATTCCCATTACATGGGCTTCCCTTTTTCCTTGCTTGCTTTCCCCTACGCCCTAAGCCCAACTTTCGAGGATGCCGTGTGGAGCTACATCGAGCGACGGGGCTTGTTCCCAGAGCAGCTAGACTGGAATTGCGGAGGTTTAGGGGGTTTTGGGGTTCAGGGATCTGGGTATATCATATTTCTACTCACCTAGGGATTATGAATGATGATGTTGCTGAACTCAGAACCCTAAAGCCCAGAAATTGTTTAATGGCGTGTGCCTCTGCCGTTTTCCATCGGCCCTCGAGGGGATACTTTCTTTGGCCTGGCCGAACCCGGCTTTTCAGCTGATTCTGCAGGTCTAAAAAGGCCCCCTAAACCCCTAAACCTTAAACCCTCCCTGCCCCCCCCACTTGGGTGCTCACAGAGAGTCAGATTTCATTTACTTCACGACATGCTTCTGATTACATGGAGAGCACGGGAAGCTTTGCGAGTTGGGTTGGGTCATTGTTGCTTACAGTAAGTGTCCTCACAGGGGGTTTACTAATTGGCTAGTATAACTCCTATTTAGTACCTAGACCCTCCTCCTACCCTCTATTAGGGCCTATGTACCTACTATTAGGGACCATATACCCCCAATTAAGGGTACAAGGAGGGTCCTGGTACTATTGCGGTAACAGTTACTGTAATGGTAAATGACCTCAGGTTTGGGTCGATTTTCGGACCCGCCATGCATGGAAAGACCGGCCCCTTTTTTTGGGCAGTGCTATGTAATACGGATTTTACTGCATTTTGGGCAGGGCCCCCTATCTCTGGAAACTACCGCATAAATGATCTTCTGAACTGTTCATCGTTATTTGCTCTGCGCTCCATTCTTGGGGCATCCAAGCTTTGTCCAGATTTTTGTATCCAATCCGCTTCCCACTTGAACCCTCAACTCTCAACCTTAGAGCTTGAGCCCCTAGATTGTGGAAGCCAGACTGCGAAAATGGCGTTCTTGAGACGGAAGGCGGTTGTAGGGCTTAGGGTTTAGGGTGGGATCAGATAAGGGCTGCAAAAGTAGGGATCCACTCCTCATATCCTACAATCAACAAGCACGTACAGAGGCCTGGCATGTTACTGAGACGCCACAAGTCACCTTTGACTTGGGATTTGCAACCTTTGTTTCCAAATCCCGAACCTGTATACCTTTACACCAAAGCCTTAACGCCTAATCCCTAAACTCTGAACCCCCCTGGCTAAACTGTCAGAGGACATCTCAACAGTCACTGGCTGAGGAGAAAACGCACGACAAGAAAACCTTGAACACGCTGAATATGTGGCAAAAAGTAACTTAAGCTCTGAACCCAAAACTCCTAAACCTTAAGTCCGAGGCTCTAAACCCTTTAGCAACCCTAAACTCCTAAAACCTAAGCCCTCAAGCCCACCAGCAGAGGAAATGCGTGCCCTTCGCCGGCGCGAAGGCAGCCGCATGCAAGAGTGACTGCAATCCAGCACCTTGGACTCAAATAGGGATTAGGGTGTAGGGTTAGGGTTTAGGGGATAATGGAAAACAAAATGGAAACTACTATAGTATATTGAGCTTATGTTTAGGGATGATGGAAAATGAAATGGAAACTACTATTTAAGGTTTAGTGTTTTGACTTAACACGGTGTTTGGTTTCGGGGTTCAGGGTTTAGGGTTCAGGTTGCAAGGGTTTAGGGTTGAGGGTTTAGGTTTCAAGTGTTTAGAGTTTCGGTTTCAAGGGTTTAGGGTTTATGGTTTAGGCGTCAAGGTTTAGGTTGCAAGGGTCTAGGGTGTAGGTTTCAAGCGTTGAGGGTCTAGGGTTTAGGGCACCTGGTAGCCCAAATAACCCGAAACAAGAAAGGTTGCCCCCAATTTTTACATTGTGTGGATCCTCATGGAACCTACTTTTCGAAGATGCTAAACCCTAAACCCTAAAATCTTGGGAATACGTCTCTAGTTTTTGGAGTTCCCAGGAAGAGTTTCGTGTCTATGACCCGGGGCTGTTGTGATTTCAAAAAGCGGAGAGATGCAACTAGCCAGTCCTACCTTGCTGTGAAGTACATACGGATATTACCCCAATAATGGAGAATCACATGGAAAAGAACATGGAAAATTGAAATGACACTGGGGGAATAAAGGGATTTAAGGAACGTAAATAAATTGGGTTGCTGTTGAGGAACTTCAATTAAGTTGCCATACCCCCCCTATCATGGAGAAAGAAATGGAGAAGAACATGGAACATGAAATGGAAACTGGGGGAATATGAGGCTTTTAGGAACTTAGATTACATTGCCATAGCGGGTATGTATAGTAGATACTAGGGTTTCCCCAATATGGTATCTTCAGTTAAGTTCCTTAACAGCAATCCAGAATCAGCACCCCAGAGCCGGGCTGTGAAGTGCTGTTTTCCGGGGAGGTTTCATGGCGATTTTGTTAAGCGTTCAGGGCTTCTGGAGGAAAACAGGTTGCCCTTGTTAGATTGATGCTGAGCACCATACAGCTTGCAGGGTATGGAACATGTACACGTATGTGTGCACAATTGGGGTGCGATATGCAACAACCGTTTCAAAGGCCGTAAATTAAAAGTCTTCGAGCAATGCGTAAAACATGCGAGGTCTAGCCAGGATCAGGCAAAAGCATCACAGAAAAGCTTCTCCTTCAAACGTACACCCGATATTGACGCAGCTAACCCTAACCCCTACACACCTAAACCTTAAAACCCTAAAGCCTTAAAACCCGAAAACCCCAAAGCCCGAACCCTAACCCTGAAAACCCTGAAGCCCTGAAAACCCTAAAAAGCCTACAAAAAAACACTCCCAGCCCTGAGTCCTAAATCCACGGTTTAGGGTTTAGGGTTTTAAGGTTTAGGTTTTAGGGTTTTAAGGCTTAGGGCTTAGGGTTTAGGGTGTTTGCCCAGAGGAGCAGAAGCTGAAAGCGCTGGAGCACTGCCTGATGGGTGGGGAGAAGCGGATTAAGAGCCTCGGTAAGGTAAAGGGCCCAAGCCTTACACCCTAAGCCCTAAAGGGTTTAGGGATATGGGTTCAGGGTTTGTTGCCGAAGCCCAAGTTGGGATGAAAGCTCAGGTCGGCTGAATGCCAAATGATAGCGTTCTTTTTAGGGCCCTTTCTGGGCTTGCCTGTTAGGTTTCGGGGAAGGTGGGGTTAGATCGCTTTGTCTACCGCTTGCGGACTTCCTTCAAGGAATCAAGTTTTCCGTGGTTCCAATCTCAGGTGCCCCAGCACGTAGTTTCCTGAAGGTTTCATAAGTTTGCGAGCTGTCAGAAGGTTTGGGATGTGAGGACAGCGGCATCATTGGGGCTTGCTGCATTTCAGCTTGTGGGGCTTCGCTTCTTACAAAATGTCTGAACATATAGTTGTTTTGGTTGTGTGGGGGCGCATTTTCCAAAACATGAGTATGCCGTACCTGAAGTCACAAACAAGGAACATGTTAGACACCCGCATGTGCACACAGGCATATATAGCACAAACAGTCTGTTGCAGGCATCCTTTGGCAGCTATTCAAACTCTACTGGGTCGCTGCAGTGTGGTGTTCTGCACGGGATATGCCAGGTATTTGTCAGAGAAGTGAAACAAAAAATCCAGTTAGCTGAACTTCTGACCGCTTTTACCTTCGAACCATCCGACCTAAACCAAAAATCCTGAACTGGTTAAACCATAGAGGATTTGGATTGGGGATCAAAACTTTAAGAGCTCATGGTCGAAAGTTGGTCGTTCGTAGGCTCAGGCGTGGGCCAGGACAGAACTAAGCCCTAAACCTTGAATCCTAAACCCTATAGTCCCCGTCAAGTAGATAGATCATGGTTTTGGATATATCATAAAAAGATCCCCATATACTCCATATCCTACCTACTTAAGGGGGACTATAGACCTTAAATCTTGAACCACGGTTTTAGGTTTCCATGTCTATTCCGGTTTTTTATATAAGAAAGAAATGAGGTTTCGTAGGTCTGACTGGAATCCCTACGTCTTAATATTTTCCATAGGGCATCTGAAATAGACAGCAACATGATCTTGTTAGGCTTCTGCCTTGTATAACCACCAATTAAACCCAGTGTCCATTTAATCTTCCGTTTTCTTTTTCTTTCGATTCTGCAGTTATCGGTACTTATTCGGACCCCTCTAGTACAGTAGGTACTTCGGCTTCTACATTGGCTTAGACTGCTAAACCCTCAACCCTATCATATTGGTGGTTGTTCGGGCTTCTACAAGTATTTGAGCCCTAAACCCTAAACCCCAAACCCAAGACTTGCTCAGACTCAAAGGCCAGTATATGTGACTTGCCGTCAGAGTCGGCCCCACATTGGAGGTCATGTGGGAACTTTGTAAATAAGGTTTAGGGGATCCTGGAAAGGGTTTACAGGAATACAGGGATATGTAGGGATGTATTGGTAGTTTTTCAGGTTTAGGGTTTAGGATTCGGCAGACTTAGTAGGTAGTTTGATAAAGCGTTTTCTGCGGTTAGTATATGGCTTGCAGGGGTTCTATGTGAGAATTCCTCAAGTAAACCGTACAGAATCCTTCTAAGAATCCAATGCCCTTATAACTAGGGTCCCAAGGCCCCTGCTTGCGAAGCAGCTTTGACCCTCCAACCCTCCAAGAAGACTGTCGGCTGGGACTCTACACTCGACCTCTCAAATGAGTAGTGCGTATTTGGGGATTGTAGAAGTATTCGGGATGCTGTCCCTACATTGGAGAATTAAATTGAACATGGCAATACAAAAGTCGCCAATGGGGAGTAAGACAACAATGAGATGATCCTTTTTGGTTATAGTGCCTTTTAAGAAGAATCTGTTCAACAGTCAAGAGAATCACCCTAAACCGTAAACTATAAACCCTAAATAGGGTTTCGACTTGGGGGCTTAAGGTGTGTTTGGCACTTGGGAGGAATCTGAAGTGAAAGGGATGGACATCCAACCATGGTGGCTCCCAAACTGTAGACCCCCGACCCCAAGCTAAAGCCTAAACCAAATTGATGTCTCAGGCGCGAGATCTACAACCGAGGCATGGGCGCTGTATAGGGTAGGTGGACCCCCCACCTAGTAATAGTGACTATAAGGGATAATAGGGATTATATTAGGGTCCTCGTATATACCTATTATACCACTATTACAGGGTGGGGGGTCCTCCTAAGGTTTAGGGCTTTGGGTTTGCAAGGTGTTATTCTTGGAGGATTTTTCCTGGCCTTGACGAAAAGTATTTTCCTGTTGTTTTTGGGAAGGTTTGAAGGACCCTAAACCCTAAACCCTAAACCCTAAACCCTAGATAAGCGGCTTCTGGTCAGCCCGACCTCTACACCATAGGGATTATAGGGGGTTATATAGGGACTATATAGGGTTATATTGGTATAATGGAAAATAAAATGGAAGCTACTATAGTATATAGGGTTTATATAGGGATTATATTACCAAGGATCCTGATTTTAGCAGTCATATAATAGTCATGCGGTCTGCATTTTGGGGGCTTGGGGTAAGTTTGCATCTGGAAAAGCTAAGTCACCTTGCGCTCTAAGGGGCTAGATGGTTTTTGTTGGTGACAGTGAGCAAGCCTGAGCAACACGAAGGCAATTTAGCAAGTACCGGCCATTTATAGGGAAGTGTCACGACCTCAACTTCTGAGATGCCCGTGGAAGTTGCCAAGCCTGAGCTGGCGTACTGGACTGCTTGAGAGGTGTGATCATCGCCGAGCTTCTCTTGGGACGTCTGCTGTTCCACGGTTGCTCGGAACTGGATGCACTTCGTGCGATTGCTGGGTTTGTTGGCATAGGCGAAGATTGGCTTGGCCGGACGCTTTGCAGGCACTGGAAACCTCCGCAAGGGTCGGTGAACCATCGCGGATGTCGAGACAACAGGGGCTTCTGCAGGGGACTGAATTTGGATCTCAAATTGCGTACGACCGCCGCATCGCAGGCCACCGTTCTGGCTCCGGGCATGTCAGCCCAGCGAGCTATTCATGATGGCTGGTGAATACAACCAGCTGCGCATGCGCAGCGCATAATCCAGGTTGCAGCAGTCAAAGAAGGGCGAATGCGCTAGGGGCCATGATTTCTAGTCAAAGCTTTGGAAGCTATAAAAGGCCATGCGTGGTTCACATCGCCCGGGTGGTCCTTGCACATAGTCGTGTTGAGGTTCATGGAGTCTGACGCTATAGGTGACATCCGTCTCCACTCATACGAAGGCAGTCACAAACAAGTTTTGAAGACAGGGCATCTTTGATGTTGAATTTCCTTAACCACTTAAGGGTGCGTTTGGCTTAGCCCAATTGAAGCGTCGACTTTTTCGGTTGCTGTTCAGGAAGTCAAACAAAATCACTACAAGTAAGAACCACCCTTTATTTATCCTATCCATACTAGCATAGCTTGACTCATATTCCGTATGTCCTTACATAAGCCCCTGTGACCTTCATGCTCTATGTTCTTTTCCAATTGCTTCTCCATGATGATACATCAGTTTAAGGTCAACAGTCCAGCTGTTGGCACGCCTTTTTCCGAAAGAAATTTGGTCTAAGAAGCTCCGTACCGGGGCTTTGCAGACCCAAGTGTAGAGATTGCCTTTATCATATACATTGCCAAAGCAACTTGCAACAATGACTGAGTTAAGGATTCCGCCTAACAGTGTTTCTCAGGTATCAAGTTTCCCCTAAACCCCTCACGCCCAAAATCGACCCAGCGCTTTCACACTTCTGGGTTGCTGTTAAGGAACTTAAATTAAGTTACCAAAATGGGTATATATAGTAAATAATAGGGTTTCCCCAATATGGTAACTGAAATTAAGTTCCTTAACAGCAACCCAGCCTTGTGCAAGGCCCTGTGGTCATTCCGGTCCTGCTGAAAGATGATTTCCTCGTCTACAAGAACCTTTGCAAATCTTGGTGTCTCAAACCGTGGGGCCCCTTCGGTAGTCTAGGGCTAGGGATATGTGAGGAGTAGTGGCCCTATTCAAGATTCTATGGGAGCTACTCCCGTATGTTGGTTACCAATCGCATAACTTTTTTTTTCCCGGTGTATTTGCTGGCATCTGGGTAACCCCCTCCCAATTAACAAGCCCGTGACCCTCCTAACAAAAGATATTCCCAGTAGTACCATTATATGTTATATGCGAAGGAGCACTGATTATTAGTGCGTGTATTTTTTGGACCGGATCATTATATTTTGGTATGGTGCAGTTCCAGAATGTGTCGCATACCAAAGATTACGACGCCTTCCCCCTTCGGTAAATTGTATGTGTAAGGGGAACGACCTACGTCATAGGCGTATGAAAAGGATGTACCGTGGAAACCGTGGACTCAACCAAAGACGATAGTGTCCCTGCAAACAAATTTTTTTTTGGAAAATGACAACTTTCCAGTTTTCCTGTGATCCTTATTCTGGACAAGACATGGACTTCACGCATCGCAGGCACAGTTTTCTCAGAATTTGGCTCTTATTTGTCATGCCTTCTCTTACACCCAAAAAAGCTTTGTTCTGACCATGCAGCCCCCAGCATCTCAGAAGCCCAGACCCTATCTTCCAGATCTTCCTTACACTAATAACAAGATTTTGGCAACCACGACCACTACAACACCGAGCTTATGAGGGTCAGATGATTGCATAGGGTATTCTTTATTTGGGCAACTTGGGGTACCAAAATCCTCCTGTTAGACTTGATTCCAACAAATAAAGCAATGAGATGGAAAGGGCTGAAACCTCAAACCCCCATTCTTGAAAATTCATTCTACACCTCTTGCAACCCTGATCAAGCCACAAGAAAGATTCAAATTGTAAATCCCAAACCCCAAACCCCCAGTGTCGGATGAGTTTCAAACCCAAGCCTACATGACTGAGGAGCAGCGTCTACACGCCCACGGAGAACGCAAACCAGCAATACGGTGCGAACCTGGGAGATACATAGGGTGCATTCAGAGGGGTTGTAGGGATACATAGGTTTCGGGTTTTGGCGCCCTTTGTCGGGCTTTGGATGTGAGTTTAGGCTGCAGGCTGTCATTTTCAAAAGAGTATAGGTTTGTATGGGGATGTGTGCGCTGTGTGGAGGGTTTTGGTTTGGGGTAATAGGGAGCTCTATGGGGATATTTTTGTATATATGTGAAACGTACAAGGATTATGTCGATTATGTGTTTGTGTATATATATATAGGGATGTATGAGGTGATACACGGTTGCGTAGATCCAAATGGAAAGAACATGGCAAAAGAGATGGAAACGGTGTGTACATATACAGGATTGAGGGTTTCAGGGTATATGGCTATGTAGGGAAGCTCAAGTCAAAACCGTGTAATAGCCGCCGATCTTTTTTCATACGCCATTCTAGATAACACACGTGCCTTGTAACGTACTGGCCGCGGATTCGGGTCTGAGGTCTTGGAGCGGATTGTTTTGTGGAGCTTGAGGGTTTCTTCGAGGGTTTTGGGGTTCAGACGTCAGGGTCCGGTGTCTAGGATCTTGTGTTCAAGCTTCCCGCAAGGTTCTAGGGGATTGTCATGACGGACTATACAGGGACTCCTAAAGTTGATACTGAAGGGGGTACTAAAGGCTTGTTTCCCGAATGTCTCCTGAAACAAGTTGGCTCTTCGACTCTTCAACCAAGCAAGCAGGCTCAACAAGTCTAAAACCTCCACCTCTGTTGCTTCAAATCCTTAAGACGTAAACTGCCAAATGCCCCTAACTCTGAACGGTCCAGGGGCCCGAAAGTCCGACCCTTATCCCAACAAAACCCTAAACCTTAACCCAAAAAACCTTAAAACCCAAAAGCCCTCACCCTAAACCGACAAAATCAGGAATAGTGAGCCGCTGGTCACGGCCGTGACCATCATGGGCTGGGGCAGATCAGAGGGTACTCCCTACTGGCTCGTCAGGGCCTTGGATTTTCATGGTTAGGGTTTAGGGTTGTGGTTTTGTGCATTGAGGGACGTAGGTTTGTGTTGGTGCATACCTCCATAACCCTAAACCCTAAGCCCCTAACCCTAAACCCTAAGCCCCTAGATCCTAAACCATATGCCATAAATCCCGAAACCCTCTTCAAGGTTGTTGCTGGATGTTTGGGTGCACACATCAGTGCATGTTCTCCCTGCTGCAACTGAATCCGCCAGGTTTAGAACCAGGGAGATACCTTGGCTTGCAACCCGTGAAATACTTACGCCGAATAATCAGCCCCCGAGGTCTTAATAATGCCCTAAACCTTAAAACCTAAACCCTTGACCCGAAACCCTAACTACTTGGAACACGGCACATAGACGTCCGTGGCACGAAAGGCGCTTCAGGAGATGAGAAGGTTCGTAAAGTGTTGGTTTTTACAGGTCGAAGTCCTGGTGGCAGGTTTGAAGGCCTGCAAACATGATTTTCTGAAAGCAAATTCACGGCCTCACAGAGTCTGGTTTGAGGGGTTCAGAAAGAGCTATGCCTGAAAGGAGGACAGGTTTTGACGGCCTGGAACATGTTAGTGCTGTGAGCACAAGCTGGACATCTGTTTTAGAAGTAATTCTGCGCACAAATCAGGGAGATGCCGGCGCTACAAGTGGGCCGTGGCACAAAAAACATTTCAGGAGGTGAGAAAGTTCCTAAAGTGCGGGTTTTTACAGGTCGAAGTCCTGGTGGCAGGTTTAAGTGTCCGAAAACGTGATTTTCTGAAAACGAATTTAGGGGTTCACAAAGTCTGGTTTGAGGGGTTCAGAAAGTGCTATGACTGAAAAGGGGGCACGATCTGACGGCATAGATAGCACCGGACGCAACTATCCCCTTCCTCCCCTCAAGATGCTAGAGTCTATCCGAAAACAAACGAGCGTCTACGCGCCGTGGTCCAGCTACTTGGGGTTGGGGAGATCACAAGGCTAAATCCGCGTATCATCATGGTTTCCATTTCTTTTTCGGTGTTCTTCTCTGTTTGATTCCCGACAGCCCCGGGATCCCTCCGAAACCCTCACCCTAAGCCGTCTTCTCTTCGTCTCCGCGGACTTGGATTCGTCTTTTCTCCAACGAGTCTTCTAAGGGTACACACATGAAGCCTCGTTGTTTCCAATTTTTATCCCTAAACCCTAAACTCCTAAACCCTAAACCCCAAAACCATGTGTTAATGCCCAGAACACCAAACCCCACACCCCAAACCCCGGAACCCTAAATCCTAAACCCAAATTCCGAAAGCCTTGAACCCTGGGAGCTTGAAGTTCACCAAAACGTGAAGATAGCCCCACATCCTAAGCCCTTTGGGGTTCAGGGTTTGGGGTTTAGGGTTTAGGGTTTAGGGTTTTGGGGTTAGGGATTCAGGGATTTAGGGATTCAGGGATTGAGGGATTCAGGGTTTAGGGATTTAGAGTTTCCTAGGCTCCCTGTCACAGCCATGAATCAATGAAGCCATGTACCTTGGCATATTGTAGAGAACTCCTTATACTTGGAGGTTAAACCCTAGACCCCAGACCCGAAGTAGGGTTAGAGGTCATCCTCATACCTACGCTTCTCTTATGTTCGAAACATCTCTGAAGCTCCATGTCTATCATCCGTGTACAACCTGCATAAGCATACTAGATAGTAGGTAGCTCGGTGTTTTGAAAACATCAGCCATGCTCCCAACGGGTAGTCTGCTACTTTTTGAGTGGGTCCTTGAAAGGACCCAGGCTTTTGAGACCTAATTTCAGCTGCTTAAGATCTGCAAAGAGCTCACTACCCAGCTGACACCAAATAGCCCTGAATGATTGTGGACCTTCAGTGACAAGCCTAACCAGCAACCGACCTAGACCCCAAACCCTCCTAAACCCTAAACCCCAAACCCTAAACCTTGAACCCTAGAACCTTAACCCCAAACCCTAAACCTTGAACCCTAAAACCCCCAAAGGCCCCATGGGTACTTTCTCGAGGTGAAGAACTCCTGGGGCGCTGGCTGGGGCGACTGGGTTGCTGTTAAGGAACTTTAATTAAGTTACTATATTGGGGAAACCCTATTATTTACTATATATACCCATTATGGTAACTTAATTTAAGTTCCTTAACAGCAACCCAGGCGAGGACGGTTATGCCCGGATTGCCATCGGCTCGGGCGCAGTGCGAGAGGCACGGATTTTTGGGAGCGGGTGCAGGGCTGTGTTTGGGGACTGGGAGGTCAAGAAATTTGAGAGTTCCGGTTGTAGTTTGACGTAGGGCTAAAAGTCCTACAAGTACATAAGTTTTAAAGTTACCACTCATCATGTTTATGGTATCCCAGCTGTATAGATACAGGTCTGAAGGTGTGGGACTTGGGGTTCGGGGTTGAGGGTTAGATTAGGGTCTAGAAAGTGTCAGGAATTTGGCTAAGTGCAGGGCTAGCAATTCGGTGTCTACAGGGGCTGGGCGGTGACACGGTCATGTAGGAAAGAAGTTATTACATGTTTTCGGCTTAGAACTTGGGGCCCGCACTACTGGGGGGGTCAGGGGGACTTGGTAAGTAGGAGAATAACCCCTATAACTTACTATAACCCATATAGTAATCCTAATTATCCCCATTATTAACCTACTTACTAAGTCCCCTTGACCCTCCAAGTAGGGTTTACGTTTTAGAGTCTAGGAGGGTGGGGGTTGGCATTCCCAGATTAAACCCTATGTTTAAAGCCCTAAACTCCAAACTCCAGACCCCCCCAAACCCTGAAGCCATTGGGTGTTTCCAAAAATGTGGGTTCCCTCTTTGTGTTTTCCTATAATCAGGGTCATAGCAGCTGGGGTACATGAAGGGGACCCTCTTTTTGGAAACCACAATGTATTTTGGTAGACTTACAGTTCTTTATCCAAAGGAGGACAGGATATGAGCTTTTTGCAAGGTTTCGTGTTGAGGGAGTTCACCTACCTAGACCCTCACTTGTGATGTGGTTTGTGTGTGGTGTGCGGTCACTCAACATGTTCCCTGTATTGTATAATCCTTGATGAAGATCTCTCTCAGTTTGTTATGGCCAGAGCCCTGGGGATATCCTTATTGCGAAGCTCCATTTGGGCGAGCCAACCATATGCCCTAAATCCACTGCCAACCCAAAGCCCAAAACCCAAAATCCAGTTTTGGGGGCCCTGGCCTGACTGAACCCTAAAACCCTGAACCCTAAACCGGGACCTCCCAAGTACTATGGAGAGGTTCAGGGTTTAGGCTTTTCACGGGTTTGGGGGTTCGGGTCCCAAGATCTCCCACATACCCGTAAAAATCAGCCGTCTATATGCAACAGCAAGATGATGGGCACATAGGCTATTTCTATTGCTATTTGGGAATTCCAGGATCCCAGGCCCTAAGCCCTGAACCCTGAAAGATGAAAACTCAGGGTTTACTGTTTGCGGTTTAGTCTGAAGTTGCCCTTGCAGAATGAAGCCCTGTGAAGAACCTTCAGACGAAAGTGTTTTTGGGTCTTCGGCTAGGCGGGGCAAGCCCAAATTAGGATTACGTAATGTGTTTTGGTCCCAAGCAATACCAACATCATTATTACCATTACCACTATTGTTATTCATCATCTACTACTGCCATTATTATTCTGTTATCTCTACACCTGCCACGCTTATTAGCATTCTTGCTACTCTTCTTGTGTTACTCTTACTGCTACTCTTACGTTGGGTGCTGTACTTGCCTATGTCTCAGGCATTAGTATCACTACTTCCACAATTTGTACAATGAGTATTACTTATTATGCATGACTTTGTGAGGTATCTATCTAGGTCTCAGGCGGCAGCAGCTCGTGCGGATGGAGCTTCAATTTTGTTGCTTGATATACGCTAGTTGTTGCCAAAGTGTATAGTCCCCCTTAAGTAGACAAAAGATGGAATTCCCCAAAGCCATACTTGGATCTCCATATATCTTATATTCTATAAACTTAGGGGGACTATACTATGTAGGTGTAGAAATTAAAAGACCTTAGCCCCAATGCTGGGCCTAGGGAACTCGGCAACTGAGTAAAGATCAGGTTTCTCAGGCACTTTGGATTTTGGGGTCATCCTTTCAGAGTTTTCGTGCATTTGCCCATACTCCTGCCCAAAGCAGTATACAACTGTAGTGTAGTTGCCGAAGATGTTCTGAACTGAATAGGCTCCTACATTCCTGGGTTCTTGTTGAATAACATTTCACATTTTTGTGTATACCTGGGCCCAATATAGATTAAACATGAAAATCTGTAATATTACTTCAACAAGAACCCAGATTCCCAAAAGGCCCTCAAAACCCTAAACCTCTTACATTCCCTGCTTACAGACATTCTAAAAGCTGCGGCCAGGAGTCTGCGATTGTCGGCTATGCAGCGACGCCCGAGGCCCTCGAAGAGGACGCGAGGAAGAAAGAGGCGAGGGTCTAGGGTTTAGGGTTCAGGAGCTGCTTTCCAGGGGGAATTTGCTGGGTTTGGAGTCAAGGGGGGCAGGGTTTAGGAGTTTAGGGGTTCATGGGCTCAGGGACTAGGATCTTCCAACATAGTTTTTTTGGAGTTTAGTTGGGTTTCTGGGTTAGGATACTTATCCACTCAAAATGACGAAGAGGAGAGGTAATCCTGTCATATATTCCTATTGTAGGTCTGGTACTGCGGGGGCCTATCCGAAGGTTTAAGCACTACGTACACCCCAAACCCAAAATCTGCACTCTAAACCCTAGACGTTTCGGGATTTGTCGGTTTGGGAGGTTGGGCGTTGGGATGTTGTCAGGGTTTGCAAGCGAAGAGAAGGGAGCCTGAGACAGCCTCTGGAACATCTCAGAGCCTCCTGTAGAAGCCGGAAGAATTACAATATGATGGTCCTAGATCCCTTGAATACGTGTTGTGTAGGGTACTTCAAATAGACTTCAAAATCACACAGGCAAATATCTAGGACGGGCCATCTAGCATAGGACAATCCCTGTAAGCCCCAATAGAATCAAATTGTCCATGATATTACAGGTTTTCCATAAGGAATTGCCATGTATTGGTAATTTGTATAGGTCCCCACTGTAGAACACTTCCTAACCCCTAGATGCATAGTACCCAAACTCAAACGAAGATCCCCCAAAAGTATCACACATCGAAAATCCGAATCCCTAAACTCTGAACCCCAAGACCCACCTAGAGTAGCCTAGCCTGTTCTAACGTTACTCTTAGTAGAGTTTAGGATCGTAATTCCAAAGCAGCGCTCTACCACAATCCCTAATCCCAAGCTCCAACATGTACAGCCTACACCACAAAACCCAAACGTCAGATCCTAAGCCCAAAGCCCAGATGACAATCCTTATCCGCATGCCCTAATCCCTAATCCCTAAACCATCCTAAACCAAAAATCATAATACGGAAACCCGAATTAAGCCCTAAATCATAATACGGAAACCCTAATTAAGCCCTAAATCCTAAAGCCTAAACCCTAAACCCTGAATCCTAAAGCCTAATTCCGAAACTCCAGATCCCTCCTCAGCGGCTTTTTCTGCGCCAGGCCGCAGAGAAGCGGCGCGAGGAGATGAAGAAGGAGCGCGCGGAGCGCTCCTGGGCTCAAGTATTTAGTGGGGATCAAGGGGTTTAGGGTTTAGGGTTTAGGAGATGAGGAGGTTTCTGGATTAAGGGTTCCGGGTTTAGGGTTCAGGGATTGGTATTTTGGTGGGGGATACTATGGTACCCATTATAAATTCTGGAGTAGAATTTTATCCTCCTTTTGGGGTATTGTATTTTATTTACGGAATATATAATCTTACTAGATTCAACCACCAATAGAACACACTACTCAGTTGAGTCGAGAGTAATTCAATGTCCTCCTCCTGGTTCTGGTGTCCTGAAAATTAAGAGGAGTGCTTATGCTTTAAGCACCGAAAATTACGGCATTCCTGGATTTCTTGTGTAACTATGGCATAGGGTACCTCATGTAAGTTTGAAGATGGGTAACACGTAGGCTTAGGCTTCTACTTGGAGGGTCAGGGGGACTTAGTAAGTAGATTAATAACGCATATATCCCATAATATAGTAACCTTAATTATCCGAGTTATTAACCTGCTTACTAAGTCCGCCTGACCCGCCAAGTAAGGGGCCCTAAACCCTAAACCCTAAACCCTAAAACCTAAATAGTAGTTTCCATTTTCTTTTCCATTATCCCTATATAACCCCAATAATATACCTGACCCTCCAAGTAGTACCTACGAAAGCTTTCACGCCAAGGCGACGCGCGAATTCGGGAGCGAGAAGCCGCTCGTGCGGCCGAGGCAGCTGCGAAGGCTGAGGGTGGGGCTTGGGTTAAGGTTTCAGTTTTCTAGGGTTTAGGGTTTAGGGGGTTTAGGGTAGTTTAGGGTTTAGGATTTAGGGTTTGTCTTTTTTTTGGGAGTGTTTTGGGTTAAGGGGCTTCAGGGTTGTGATTCTGGGTAGGCCGCTGGGATATTTAGTATTTTCCCTAATGGCTTTAATAGGGGATCATATATACTAATATTTTTCAATGGGTTTTAGGGGCCAACCTAGGACCTAGGATTTCAGGGTTTTGAAGTTTAGGATGTTCGTGGGGATTTAGGTCTTCTGGCTTGAAAGTCTATCAGGTGCAAGTGTATTTTGACAGGTTCAGGATTTTCGTGCTAGGTCTTGGGATTTTTTTATTTCTTCAGTGCTTATAGTAGGGAAGTGAGGAGATTCCATTACAGTGAGTTTTCGGATTTATATAAGGACCCGGGCTCCAGGATCCAATCTTTCCTTCCGTGGGTCTTTAAAGGGGTCTGATCCTGCTTGCTCTTGAAGCAGGTTTGCGTTTATGAAGGCAAGGGTTGATGGGTTTCGTCTGAAAGCATGGATTCATGTCGTCAGGGGTGGGGTGTTCAGGTGTCGTGAGATTGCGAGGTCAGATATCGAGGGGATGTTTGTAACTCCAAACTCCGAGTTAGGATCCTGTTGGGGTTAGCAAAATAGCCTTCCGATTACTCAGTTTAAACCCCGGTATATCCCCTGTATAACCTTGGCTGGCACTTTGTTTCCGCATTCTTTCCAATCGATCTACCAAAATCCCGGGCCTAAGCCTTACAGCCGGAGTCCAAATCCTTCATTTAAAGGAGTCTCAGTCTGGGTCTCAACATTTGAACATTGAGGCCTACTCTCCCCCAAACTAGGGTGGAGCCCAAGTAGCTCCTTTTTTGAAGGACAGTAATCTTCCCAGGGTCCATGACAAGGTTCCAGGTTGTTTTGGTGGATGTTTCCTAGGTGCGGTGTGTTTCCCTATGTTGCCCAAAAAACACAAGATCGACCAAGAATTACAGGGATTTAGGCTGGGTGGTTCAAGGGGTGGGCAATCCAGTAATCCTCAATACCCATGAATCTTCCCCAATATTACTCAAGGCTTCCCAAGGTTCCCGAGTGCTTAACCCAACCCTGCTCAAGCACGCGGGAAGAGGCCCAGGTAAGGCTCCTCCAGTTTCAGGAGTCCCGTTGTGCTCGGCAGAAATCAAAACACAGGGGTGTTTGGGTATCTTGTAGACCCATAATTAGTAAACCCCCTCCCCCCCAATAGGGATTATGATGCGGATCCTAATATTAAGGCCCCTAGGAGGAGCAGGTTTATTAATCAGGGGTCTACATTATGTATGGACAAGGTAAGAAGGAGATCGCTGGGTGCTGCTACGGTTCGTGTGACGAATACCTTGCGGAACTCCCGCATGATAGTGGTTGTTAGGGTTCAGGGTTTAGGGTTTAGGGTGTTCTGGTGGCTTCAGTCACTCGGAACTCTAAACCGCGTCGTTGGAAGACTAGTTGTCCTTGCTTCTTATACTATAGTAGTTTCCATTTTCTTTTCCATTATTCCTTATATAATCCCTACAGAACTCCATATACCCCTATATAGCTTAGATTTCCCGAGTATTCCTGATACCAATTTCACCTCTCAGCCCAAACAAACCCTTCATGTATCCAGCAATTCCTTCTCACGATATCTATCTTTAAAAGGGTCCCATGAAGGGGCTACTTCATTATTTGATAAGTCTTGTGGTAAGTGTTACTGCATGGGGGAACGACCCAACCTATACACCTTATCCTTATATCCTTACAAGCTTGTTTTGGGAAAAGCCATGGCGGATTCGCGCAGGCTGGCTCGGAGGACGAGGATCTCGACTTCGAGGTGGGCAGGGGTCCTCAATAGAGGTTGAAATGGAAACTCATGTTACATTAGGGTTTGTGGTTAGTGTAATATAGGAGCCTAGACGAGAACAGAATAGCGCTTTAAGACCTATAGGATGAGTGGACTATAAGTCTCTGAGGATTGCCAGGGTAAAGCCTTGGTAACTATTCGAGGTTCTACATTTGAGTAGTATTTTATTTGGGGATACTATGGTACCCATTATAGAGTAAGATTCTATCCTCCTTTTGGGGTACAGTATTTTGTATAAGGGATATTATCTTACTAGGTTCAACCACAAAAAAAAACGCTACTCGATTGGATTTAGCAGCGTCCCCGGACACCACACCCGTTTTTCTATAGTTGTCATTTGGCTGGAGAAACATCGCAGTTTCCTTAGATAGGGGACCCCAATATAGACTCCAATAATAAAGGTAACCTTCATTTTGGAGAACCCTAAGCCCTTAACCCTATATGTCCCTATTGACCCCTATATAATTATATAACCCCTACAACCCCTTTCAAGGGACCCCTACGTTTGCCAAACCTTACTATCAGAGTTGGGGTTACCGAGACTCTGAGTAATCGCTTTCTTCGTTTTCTCAAAGTAGCCAGCTTCATAGCATATGACATGTAAACTCGGACAGCAGGCAGATGCCATCCCCAAATAGCCGCCTGAAGCCCAAAGCTAAGAACGGCACGATACTGCTTCCCTCACAGGTATCCCCATACCAATTACGTAGGCATATACCTGAAGACTGGTGTTATCTGTAGTAACTTTATGAGAGAATGAGATATTTCCTGGTTATGACCTGGCTTTTTCTCTACCTGGCCGCCTGAAACCCTAAACCCGTTATTCCCGTGGAGTGAAGAGTTGACGCGGGTGTACTGGACTGCTTGAGAGGTGTGATCATCGCCGGGCTTCTCTTGGGACGTCTGCTGTACGGTTGCTCGGAACTGGATGCACTTCGTACGATTGCTGGGTTTGTTGGCAGGCAAAGATTGGCTTGGCCGGACGCTTTGCAGGCAGTGGGAACCTTCGCAAGGGTCCGTGAACCATCGCGGATCTCGAGACACAGGGGCTTCTGCAGGGGATTCTGAATTTGGATCTCAAATTGCGGACGACCGCCGCATCGCAGGCCACCGTTCTGGCTCCGGGCAGTGTCAGCCCAGCGAGCTATTCATGATGGCTGGTGAATGCAACGAGCTGCGCATGCGCAGCGCATAATCCATGTCGCAGCAGTCAAAGAAGGGCGAATGCGCTAGGGGCCATGATTTGTAGTCAAAGCTTTGGAAGCTATAAAAGGCCATGCGTGGTTCACATTGCCCGGGTGCTCCTTGCACATCGTAAGATTTGGGTGACCGAACTCCCTTGAGGGTGCGTCAGGGTACATCGTCCTGGCGAGACGTGAAATGTGTGGGAGTGTCCCCGCTATTCTTCTAGAGTTCTTCATGGGGACCTCCATGGTCCCATAGTAATCCGTGCATGTATATGGGTGATTGTAATTATGGTTCCCTTTTGGGTACCCTAACTTGAATATTAGGTGCCGTTTTGTAGTAGGGATCCAAAAAGGGGACCATAATTTTGACAACCGCCCATATAGGTACATAGTGAAGGTCCCTCAGGGCCCAGAATTGGAGAAACCTTCAAGCGCATTCCAGTCCCTGAGTGCCCGTCCAACTCACGAAGCCGTTGAAATGCCGAAATGCTGAAACTTAAGCCCCAAATAAATTGGCAGCTTGGGAGCTCAAACTTTTTTATCCCTGAAATTTACATCAGACCCTAAAAACTAAACTCAGAAGACGCCAGAGTAGCAGCCTACGTATGTACCAAAATCATAGTTAGACTCCTTGTGCATTTATGGTCTCAAGGTGTTCCACAAAGGCCTCGCAAACCCCCTAGACCCGAAACTTTAAACACTGAACCCTAAATAGTAGTTTCCATTGTCTCTTCCATTATAGAGGCAATCACAGTAGGGCTCCTGCGCGCGAGGACGATGAAGAGGTGGATATCGATTCTGAGGAGAGTGGAGACGATCCCTGAGGACACAGGGGCTTAGGGTTTGGGGTACTGTAGAAACCTAGATAATTACCACCGTTATCCTCTTGTAATCCCTATATAACATACATACCCCAAAGCCCTGTTCTAATTAGATAGGCGCCTGTATGTAGGCCCGAGACTCAGGCTCCAGCGTTTGGTCTGTAGCGTTTAGGTGCAGGGCTACGGTTTGGCAGGGGTGATATATGAGGGTGCCCCCAAATCAAGGGTACCTTTTTGGGGGTCCCTCATATTAAGCCCTAGGTCTTTGGGTTTAGGATGATTGCTTTTGAAGTCGGGCTGCAAGGCTCATGGATAAGGCGCTGTAAGCTTGTAAGCCCTAAACCCCCAACCCGGGCCGCTTTGCCTAAACCCAAAACCCTAAACCCCTAAACCCCTAAACCCCTAAACCCTTAACCGATTCTACGTTTTTTTAGGGGAGGAGCTCATACCTTAGATCCTAAACCACCATGGTCGAGGTTCAAGACTTAGGCATTAGAGTTTAGGGTTTAGGGTAAGAATGTGCCAAGGTCGGAGACAGGCGATATACTTGCTGGTGGTAAGGATCACCATACACGTTCATGTATGGCTTAGGGATGCTTTGCCTTTCCCACTCTTGCAGTCCCTACTACCCGCCAGTAAGTTTAGAACTAGGAGACGCGCTTTGGTCGGGAAGTACAGTTGAGGGATCATTTCTAGGATCGCCCAAATGCTACCAACAGTTATGAGTTCCTTGTAGGATTCAGGAAAAGGGTACTTTAATAGACCGGAGAATAATATGAGCTATAGTCTAACCTCCTTAGAGGTGGTTTACACAGGGTATGAGTAACGAGTGTGGCCCATGTATCAGTCCTTGGGATTAGGGGTGGGGGGGCTCGAGGTCTCAGAACTTTCTTTGCGGTTAGGGTGGTTGTAAGGGTACATAGCTCCTGAGCGCAAGGGCTTCGTAGGGGAAAACCGAAGGTATGACCAGGTGATATCGTATAATCTCTTCTAACTTATGATTCCTGTTGTAGATAGCACTGGTGTTTTGTCATAGGCCTACCCAGGCTTGGTTTAGGATGTCCCAGCATCGCCTTTCTTGTCTGAGCTTATTAAAGTACAAGGCCGGCTTCGGAGGAATTGATTAGGGTATAAGTACAGGTGCAGTTGGGTCATTATTGCCTTCAACTTCCAAATAAAGGTGTAGAGCTTGAACGCTTTTGATCCAGGAGTTTGCTTTTTTTTTTGGGGGGGGGGTTGGGAGCTGTTAAGAAGTGAAACCCTAAACCCTTAACCCCAAAACCTCAAACCCTAACCCTAAAACCCCAAATGCAAAACCCCTAAACCCCTAAACCCTTAACCCCGCACCGTTTGGAGGGTTTCTCAGGTTCAAGAAGGGTTGCTGAAGCCGCTGCGCAGGACAGGATTTTGCATCGTCTCCTGACACCTGACATAGTTAACAGATAGCTGCTGAAGGTCACTTCTCCGAGCCGAAAATCTGAACCCTAAACCCTAAACCCTAATCCCTAAGCCCCAAACCCTAAACTCTAATCCCTAAACCCTAATCCAAACCCTAAATCCCAATCCTTGAGCCCAAAACCCTAATCCCTAAACCCTAAAAGCATCTTAGGGTCAAGATCACGGCCTCCTGGCCTGCTCTCAGGCGTCTCTGAGAGCTCTGAAGGATGAAGTCGATCCCGACGCCCCCCGACCACTAAACCTGATTGCGTTGTACGGATATACAGGGAATTACATAGTGTTTAGGGTTTAGGGTTTGGGGTTTAGGGCTCATGGTTCAGGGTCTAAACTCCTTTATGAAGATTATTTAAGGGATTAGAAGGGAGACTACTGTAGGGGTTATTAAGGGGGATATCCTGAGTTTAGACCCTAAACCTTAGACCCTAGACATAGCTCACATGATCCTGAAGCGGTGTAGTCTAAACTCCTTACAGGGGGTTGGTTGTATAGGGGATGATAATATAGGGGACTACTATAGGGTTTATTAAGGGGGATGCTAGGAGTTTAGACTATGGCTCATATGTCCTTGGAGTCCTCAAGCTCTCGACACACAATCCTAAACCGCCTAAACCATAATCACGGGTTTCTGAGAAGCCTAAGCCCCGAATTCGCAGCTTATTAGAGTCATCTGATAGGTATAGGGCCTTTATATTTTGGTTTTTGAGATTACCCAAGCCCTCGTATACATCCATAGACCCGATATACATGCAGCATTCATCTTTTCTTCAATGTGATTTTCCATTCGACCCTCCGTAGTTATATATATATATAAATTTGAGAAGCACCCATCTTATGGTGGTAGTTTCCATAAAAAAGGGGGAACCCAATAAACATTCCAAAATACTCGGACCCCTATTTCAGTGACCTCCTACAAGGTACCCCCTAATTTTGGGAAACCCTGAACCCTACATATCCTCATATAACCTCTGTATAACCCTAGAACCGCTGTAAAGTTTTGGGAAACCCCTGGGCCCATTTTATCCTGCTTAGAGAAGTGGCGCGAGCATGTGGGAGCGAGATTCCTTGAGTTGCTTATGGAAACCTTAAGAGAGCTCTCCCGACAGGCTTTAGGGTTTAAGGGCTTCCTGCTTAGGGTTTAGGGTTTAGGGGCTTTAGGGTTTGAGGGCTTGGGGTTTAGGGCTTGGGATTTAGGGTTGAGGGCCCAGGGTATGCTAGAGATGATGTATTGAATCTTTTTGTACAGCCCGCACTAGGTAGTTGAGCCTGGTTTCTGGGAGGTTTCCAGGGCAGAGAGAGTCGACATACATATATATATGTATATACATATGTATACATATATATATATATATAGATATGAGAGTTTTATGTATATACATGGTACCCCCACCAAAGATCTGCCCCTTTTGTAGGTCACACAGGAAATCATGTATCATTCTTCACGTTTGAGCTCTGAATTCTGAGGAAATATAGATCCTGGAATGCGAGCAGGTTACTAAGATTTTTGTCCTTTGCCCTAAACGCTAAACCCTAAACCCTAAACTGCGCTAGTCACATTCAATGAGCTCATGACTTCACTCCGCACTCCTACTTCTGGCACTCACACGCAATGAAACGGTTTAGGGTTCTAGGGTTTACGTAGGGTTTAGGGTTTAGGGTTTACGAAATGCATTCTGCAGTCCTATAACTTACACGCAGGGCAACATTGACATGCTTTTCCGTAATCCTAGCATTCACACGTAACGAAGCAGCGAAATGCTTTCCGCCGGAATACATTGTGCAAAAGCTTTTGGATGTTGAGCGTAGTGCATAGGACAAATGTAGATAAATAAATAAATAAGTATATATATATATATATATGTCAGTATGCTATTTACTGGATAACGTCCATAGTCACATTTTTTATTTGCAATATCCACTTACATATCATACAATTCTCCCGAAACCTGCGCCCCGAAATCTTAACCCAAAACTTTGAATCCCGGACCCTAATATCCTCCTACCTCAAAACCCCCAAAACCCCCCATACCACGGCAGAACCGAGGGATTTCGGAACTCCGAAGGCGAGTCTCTGCCCGAAGCTTTGGCAAAGCCTGGCCTTAAGACCTGGCAAAAGGATTTGGATTCATGTTTGATAGTACGAATAGTACCAATAGCAAGAATAAAACGGACACGCATGCAAGGTCTGAGAGTGCGAGTAGTAGCAGGAGCAATATAGTAGCTATCAGAGTGATAATGCAATTTGAAGGGACTAGGGCTTGGGGTAGGGGGTTGCTTCGTTACGTGTTGCGCTTTAGGGCAAGGCAGTTCAGGTTAGTGAGGGTTTGCGCGCCCACGGTTCGGATTTGAGGTTTGGTCGCTGTTAAAACGTCTTTGACCTTTGGGAAATGTGAGCGCTCCTAGGATGTTTAGGCCCGCCGGAGGTTTACAAGAACACAGGGAACATGCAAGGTGTGTTGAGGCTTAATTAATGACTTAATGCAAGAATACAGCAGAGAATATTTCGGACGCCAAATGATCGTCAACGTTGTTCCTTTGTAATCCTCATGTGAATTTAGTCTTCTAATCCTAAACCCTCATACCATCATATACCCCCCGAAGCCTGTTCACATTATTCAGGCCGATACATGACGTGGGTTTGAGGTTGTCGGAGCCCTAGAGACCTGAATGGTTTAGGAGACAAAGCCAGCACTGGCAAGCTTCCCGCCATAATCCTTAGAAATGTGTTTGGGCAACTCCAACCTATCCAGGAATAAACTGAAGGTGTAGGGTTTAGGACCTTTATTTTGGGGTTGTAACCGAAACCCCTTGTATGTAACCGAAACCCCTTGTATTAGCCTTTGCATGAGCATCTGAATGTTTGATCGGTATTGCAGAGGCTCTACGAAGCTTCCTTCATGTAGTCCCTAAACCAGAACAGTTGAATCGTAAACCCAAAGCCCCACTCCAAAACTCCTAAACCTTTGTCCCTAAACTCTAACTCCTACTCCCTAAGCTCTAAACTCTAAACCCTAACCCTATTCCGTAAACTTTAAACTTTAAGTTCTATTGCAACCTAAACCCTAAACCCTAAAACCTTAAAGTGCTGTTGCATTTCCTTACGGCCGGCTTTGGCGGCACCACTCGCGAAGTGCCCTGCGGGACGATCCCGCGAGCTCAGATACGACCCTGCTTTTTGGGTTTTAAATGCCCCTAAGCCTTACACACCCTAAGCCTTAAGTGGTATGTAATTTCTATATAATCCCAACATAGTATAGTAGTGTCCGTTTTGTTTTCCATTATCCCTATAGAACACCCAACATACTATAGTAGTTTCCATTTTCTTTTCCACAGTCCCTATATATCCTTAGCCTTGAAGTTGGGGAATGGGGTTGAGGGCTTGGGGTTTACGTAGGGCTTTCCGGTGCAGGGGTTTGGCTTCAGGGATTAGGGTTTGCGGGTTGTAACGATAATATTAACAGTTGCGGACGGTTTCTTCGGGAAGGGTGTCGGATTTAGAGATAGCTCTCCCTCAGCGCTAAATGTTAAAGTGTGCCCCTCAGATTTCT